TGGATTCATTTTTCCGATTATTTTTAGGGGAGAATCCTTCAGGTTTTGGATTAGGACGCCCCCACAGATGGGTCCCTTTTTGAATTCAGCCTGAAAAATTACCCCCCCCCCCCCCCCCCCCACCGCCATTAAGTCAGTCTGTTCCATTAGTACCCCTATTTGTGACCCGATACTATTTATATCTTTCAGGAGATACGTTGGTTTTTGTACACCATGATGATCCTCTATCAGACAATCAGAAAGACAGATTAGCTAATGCTTTTTCTTTTAAATTATCACAGAGATCTCGTATTATTGACATCGTTCAGTAACTTGTGATATCCTGTTTATAACAAAATTAATTAACTGAGTATCAAAAATAACCTTCCTTAAAATTTTATACCTAAAAGAGGTTTTGTAAACTGGTTATGTGTATTGTGCCATTTTTCAGTCAGATGTCTTTTAATTTCACTAGAACTTAGCGCTTAGGCATTGAATGATATTGCAAGAACCACAGACGTCTGACTGGAATGGTGCAAATCGTCGCTTGACGTTCCCAATACATACAGTTTAGAAAACATCTTTACAATTCCATTACTCAGATCGACTTGCAAATTGCAGCATCTCATTTAATACATTTAACGTTTATAAGCAAATTTTACAGCTTTTGTAGATGAAAAGATTCAAATTTAAGCTGAACTAAAGAGAATTGATTCTCTCAAACTATCAGAATGAAGAGAAATTGCGATATTTATGTCGGGATGATTTAAACCAGCAGCTGATCGTGTTCATTTTTACTTGAAAAAATAAGTTTCTGTCAGATTCTGTCAGTATCAATGTCGATCTGTGTCTCCTTCCCCTTTTATTTTTACATATATTTATGAGATGGGCACATATTTTCATATCATGTTATCCATAAGTGTTTTTATTTTCTTTAGCAACAAAAATATGACTTTTAAACACAATTTCTTAATCTGATTCGTAAATCACTTTTAACTAACTTTTGATTTGTTTGTACAGTATGCTGTATTAGATTAGATTACAGTCTTTCCTAAAATATAGATTTTATGAGGTATAATTTCTTGATGTATAACTATATTATTTTTCATTGAAAATGAAATACAAGTAAATCAATTTATTCTCAGGGTTGATACATTATCATCGAAAGGGAGGTAATTAGATATATTATGTCTCTATGTAAATCTAACTGCTATAGAAACCTTCCCTGTATCAGGGAATAAGATTGTACGCCAGCAAATACAGCCAATCAGAGCAGCAAAACTGTAGACATTATGGTTAATTGTTTACAAACTTCCTGTCGGGACTCTGTCGGATTGGCTGTTTTCGCTAATGTACTATCCAATCAAATCCAATCTAAATAGAAACATGGCTTTTGGTTCATGATATTTTGAGCTTTGAACTAACTCTTTATTAAAACATTGGTAAATGATGCAACTTTTCTAGAATGATTTTTAATGCAAATGGTCTCCAGGAAGAGTGTCAGGTCAGAATAAGCACTTTTCGTACGACTGTATATACTAGGTCAATGGCAAACTTCAAAGCCCTGGCCTTCCCCCTTTCCAGTGTGTAAGTGGTGGCCTAAATGCATTGAAAAGTGGTAAGGGGAACCTTTTTGTGGTTGCATATTCAAGTTAATAAAGGTATTAGTGTGAACAGGATTCACCTTAGTCATATATCGATTCATTTTCACGTAGAGATAAATTAAAATAAATTAAATTTCTATTTATACTCCCTGAAATGTTTTTTATTTGTTAATTTGTTGCTTTTATATATATTAGTTAATAAAATGATTGCAATGCCTTTGTCCAAATTTTCAGAAAGTAACATATTTGGAAATATAACAGTATTTTGTATATTTTGAAAGGAAAGAGCGCACGTTTTGTCAATAACAAGAGACGGCTATGGCGGGGTTTTAAGCTATTGAAGAATTTCTTCAAGATGTTGCAGACTGATGTCAGTCCACTTTTGTTGATTGATAAATGTGTTGTTAGCCAACAAACAAAGAATTAGACCGCCATCTTCGTTTTTTGTGTCATCGAGGGATTGTGGCGATACCTAAACGTTGATCAACTAGACCTTCGGTATCACGTGCGTTTTCAAGTTTACGTCGACTTAAAAGTTAAGGCCTATTAACGTGATAGTTTATATTAATGAGCTGAACTAAATAGAGGTGATTCTGTATAACAATTTGTGGATGATGAGAACGCCGATGAATTTCTAATAGATATGATCTATATTTGCGTCTTGACACGGAGTCATTTTAACTTGAATCTCTTAACTTTAATAGAGGAAATGAAAGGAAATTTGAGGATTACGACCTAATATAAATTTTATTGAAATAGATTACTCGGTAACTGATGAGGTTTTTGAAAGACTATCCAATTAACTCTTCAACTAATTTAGGATTACTATAATTAAATTGTAATTGATTGAATACAAGGAACGTGAGATCATGTGAATAGTATAGGCAATGGTCAAGTCTGAAAGAATCTGAAAGTAGTTGGTGATATACAACATTGGATTATCAGATAAACGTTATTTTCACAGTTCATAGTTAATTTAGATTGCTCATTAGTAACATTTCTTTACTTCAAAGGCTAATCTGCCCAAACCCGAAAAAGGGGAAGGTGTATTAATCACTACGTAAAAGTTTTCGGGGTATAGTGCAAGTTACCCAGCAGATCGGGATTGAACTATGGTTAGCTTAAGAGGCTGGATATTTTAGAGTTAAAATTGGACTATTTCAAAGTTGTTCTTCATCCTGAAATTGATCTCGTGAGACATATAATATCGAAGTCGAGGAATTGAAAGTTATCGTAAAATTTAGTGTTATACGCGAAAAGTTATCAAACAGATTAGGACTTATGTATCAATTCAGATCTTTGAAAGTTAGCCAGCAAATTCGGACTGATTTTGTGTTAGCTTAGAATGTTAGTTCATATCTGATCTCCATAAAAATCCTCATAAAAATGGAGATTTATTGTTCAATGTTCATAATATATACTGTTATAATAACTATTGTTTATTATCCTCGAACTACACATGGCCACGGTCGGTTAATAGACCCACCATCTAGAGCATCAATGTGGAGACATGGATTTAATTTACCACAGAATGATTATGATGATAATCAGGGCTATTGTGGTGGTCAACAGGTAGGTCAACCACGTTTAAATAGTAAATATCTTCCCACAATTAACAAATTAACACATTTTTAATTAATCCCCCATCGAGAAGAAATAATTTTTGTAACGTTAGTTATTTTTTGCCTTCTTCAATTTCAAACTGACAAGACTGACAGTGGAAATTCTAAACAAGTTTCCAACTGTACGACTGGTATTTTTGGGGAATTTTCCAATCAGGATAAAGATGAGATTTCAAACGTTTCAGATGGTGTACAATCATAGCCTGTCCAATATCTTCAATAATATACCACCAAAACCATTACATATATCTTTAATGATATACTATCGCAACCATTATAGATATCTTTAATGTTATACTATCAAAACACTTACAGATATCTTTAATGATATACTATCGCAACCTTTACAGATATCTTTAATGATATACTATCGCAACCTTTACAGATATCTTTAATGATATACTATCGCAACCTTTACAGATATCTTTAATGATATACTATCGCAACCTTTACAGATATCTTTAATGATATACTATCGCAACCTTTACAGATATCTTTAATGTTATACTATCGCAAGTTTTACAGATATCTTTAATGTTATACCATCCAAACACTTACAGATATCTTTAATGATATACTTTTGCAGCCTTTACAGATATCTTTAATGATATACCATCACCACCTTACATATATCTTTAATAAAATACCATCACAATATACCATAACCCCTCCCCCACCCCCATTAGGAAAAGAGGCTTACACGTCTTTGCAAAAATTCATTTTTTTATCAATTTACATAGTGAAAGAATAGCGTGTGGCACGAATGGAAAATTCTGTGGTCCCTGCACGGCTCCCTCAAATAACGTTTCCTAAGAATGCCATTGATACCATCACCACCCCTTACAGACAATTGTAGCCCTGACTCCTTACAGATATCTTTGACAGTATACCAGCAAGGAAATTAGATGTCTTTTTTGGTACGGTTATTACTAAAAGTAATCTGAAGTCATATATCGAAGAACCTAATCATTGAAATATTCGTGAAAATAAGACAAAAGTGACAGATTGTTCATAAGCTACTTACAAGGCAAGAGCGACGTTTTGATTGTTTCAAAAATGTTCAGGACAGATAAAAATATAAATACCTCTTTTGATGTAAATTGTGAATTATTTTTTTCGTATGATATACTTTACAAGTACAAAAATCAAATATATTAGGCTCAAAGGGTTATAAGATAGAAAGGAATGTTTTGTACAGTATGGAAAAAATGCTCTATGAAAAACGTGCAAAATATGTAAAGAATTTGTTTTGTTGTCCCCATATTTGAAGTAAAGTAAAGCTTTAACACAAACGAAATGCAGATAATTGCACACTTGAAACATAAAGAGGGCAACCATGTTTTTAAAAAGTTTTCTGTTATAAATTTATTGATTGTTTTGACTTTGATTGAACAAGGATTGACACCGTCATTTTATAAGACAATATTTGACATATTTTAGTCACCATTTCTTGTTGTTTGACACCTAGCTTATGAAACGTTTGTTTGCTTTATAAACACGTACTTGTAAGCAGTTTTGTTTACAGTGACTCCTTTGAATCATCTTAAAGTAACAGTTCGACATTGGACTGGGCAGTCACATAATCTCTGATAG